TAGTGGGCAAGTGATTCTATATCTCTTTGGCAGTGTCAAGATAGAGCAGAGTAGAGCTAATACTAGGCTCAATGTTATTCAACAATAAAGAGATAATCTGAGCGTCCTCTTGTTCCCACTAATCATACCAAAGAATGTCTTTCTTGGATTTAGGATTAATCAAATATTTCTTAAAACCTTTGCTTCGAAGAAAGACTTGAACGGAGCGGGACTATAAAGTATAATTGGTCCCATTGAGTTTAACGGAGGTCATGGGACTATTAACAAGAATCAGAGAAGAAGAGGTAGGTGGCAAAGATGGAGCAGGAGAGTTAGCATCTTACTTGGGTTCCATAACAATGCATCAAATAGAAAAAGGTAATCACTAGATCACTAAACTGGACAAGAATCACCTATTGCACTACTAAACCGAAGAAGAAAAGGTTGTTGGATCACTGAACTGAGCTGGATCGCTGAACTGGACAGGATGGGCTTGTTGAACCATTGAACTGATGTAAAAATTGATTGAACTGGTATGAACCGGTGCAAAACTAGTTGAACCGGATTGTAGAAATTGATTGGACTGTTGAACTAGAGCAACAACTGAAGGAACTGGTGAAGAACTACTTGAACTGGTTTTGAGTGGATCAAACTAGGGTTGAACTTGGACTAAGCCAGACTTGGACCGGTCTGGTTTGAAGGCTATTGAATTAGGACTGAATCTCCTAAATCTGGGTCTAGAACCGGGTCTGGGTCTGAATCTAGATCTGGGTTGGGCTTGAGAATAGTTATGCCCGTGGACTTGGATCCGTTACCCAAACTTGCAAACTGACCCACTTGAACTGGGTTGTCTTTTTCACCAATTAGGGTTTCAACCAAACCCTATTCCTTCTTTCATTGTCGACTGCGTCAAGAGAACACCACCACAAACGACACCAAAACCAGAAGCCACCAGTGTCAGCCACACACCACCACAAAGCAAAACCAGATGCCACCAACGTCGACTGCACCAATGTCGACTGCCACCACCACGACAACAACACCAATCTTCGACAACAACACCACACCAATGGGTTAGAAAGTTTGGGTTAATATTTGTATTTAGAATAATTATGCTCTGATACCATGTTAAGTTAAAAGAATTAACATAATATTAGAGAGAAACAGAGAGTGGTTAAAACTTAACCTATCTATCATGCATTACTTGTATTTATAGTTAACTTATAGTAATAAGAAAGACGAATACACCTATTTATATTTACACATAATACCCTAATACTCTTAATAGTTTGCACATAATACACTAATACTCTTAACAGTGACAAATTTTGTATGCTTTGGCTGAATCAATTATCCTAAACAAAATATTCTCATTTTATCTAAGTCCTACAATGATTATAGATAAAATTGGTCACTGTTTTAGCTTGCTCCAGCACATTTTAAATCGTTTCAATCTTGGTAAAATCAAATAGAAAATTAAATTTAGAGAGTGTGCAACAAAAGGAGTCTAATATAAGTATGATCTTTTTTCCATCAACATTTCACTATCCTTTTTGCACGCACTACCATTGTCTATAGTAATCCGAACTACATTTTTCTCCAATCTCCTCAACTACTACAACATTCATCAACCCTAAAATATAATTAGCATCCTTGTCATGGTTAGAAGTATCAATTGATTTGTGGAAGGCAATTTTGACATCACAATATTTCAAGAAGTTAATGATAGATAATCTTGTGGTTGATGTCTATCCATCACACATGATTGTAACTTTGTAAATCTCTCACTTCTTTTTAAACTGGTCAATGTATTTTTTAAGTTCATCTATCTCATTATATAGTATTGGCCCGCCAATCATATATGGGGTTAGGTATTGCTCACTACTCTAGTTGAAACAATTTCATCCATCATCAATTGGTAAAAATGACCTTTAGCTTTGCTTGGTGGAATATTCTCATAAATAAAATTCTTTGCAATAGCATGTTTTGTGGGCTTCGTCCACTTTTTGGGATTCTACATGTGAGTTAGTTTGGGTTGCTTGACTACTCCATTTCGATTCATTGAAGGATCCACGTCTTCTATCGTGAGATCTTTTCTTTTGCCCATCAACTTTTGTGATTTTCTTGAAAATTTATCTCAAGCTTCTTTCACACTATTTGAACGCTTTAAACTCCTAGATTTACCACCTTTTGGGTAAATGGTTTAAATCTCCCTCCTCCAAACTCCTACTCAGCCATATGTATGTCACGAAGAGATTGTTTTGCATAATCAGTATTAACTTTTTCTTCTATATGGATACCATCATCTTACTATTCATCAGAAGAATAAATTTTGGTACCACTTCTTCGCCTGATCTATCAATTAATTTTTGTCTTATTTTTCTCTATTCATCGGTCACTTTTACACTTTCTTTATTGTTACGATTCAGGCAATCTCGTATACCTCTCAAAATTTCAAAGGACACTTCTCACATTGTTTCATATTATTATAACCGCATGGTAAGCGTTGTTTCAAACGTGACACACCACCACTTTTCATTATTTTATAACAAAAATTGCACATCACATGTCGATTATCCATATTTCGCTCACCATAATTCCATCCAATATCATGTTCTTTTTTATTTTTCTAGGTTGATTCAATAACCACATTTTTTCCCTTTGATGCTATATGTACAATAGATACATTACATTTTGCTAGCTTCGCACATTTGAGTAGAACGCACGAGAGAGAAAGCAGACGTTGAGCGTTTGAGAGTTTGTATGTAGAGTTACGAGAGAGAGAAGTTTTGAGACTTATGAAGACCTGCAAGCCTCGCCAGCCTTATCCCCTTCCCAGATCAGTAGATCTAAGAGAAAGGGGGTGCAATACCCATCCTAGATTTGTAGATCAGATCAAGAAACAAACTCGATGAAGACCCAACACAGAAGAAGGAAGAAAGATAGAAGAAAAGAATAGGTAGGAATAAGCTCATACTTGGAGGAGGCTGGATCTAGACCGTGGGAGTGGAGGGTGGCTTAGATTTGGAGTTAGGGAGGTAAAATGGTTAACTCTTCTCCTTTCGATTTCTGGGTGTACTCTCTGTCGTTCTGTCACTCTATGTTCAGTTGAACTACATTTTTTGAGCTTGGAATGACAATTTTTTGAGTTCTCTTACAAGAGAAGAATCTCTCCTATTTTTGGTGTGGACTTGTAATTTTCTGATGCCAGTCGAATTAAGGTACTATTGCGATAAAAACAGTCCGTAACAATGAGGTTTCCCCTTAAACTCGGGAAGTTTTGGTTTCCACCCCTCTATTGTGTCAGTGTGTTCAAAAATTAAAATTCAAAACGTTTTGAAATAATATTTTGATCCTTGCCTAGTTGGTCGCTAGACTTGATGTATGATGTGATAATTTTTTTCCGCATTAAGAGATTTCAAATAAAATGACGATCCATTTCAATGTGTTTAGTTCTCTCACGAAATGCCAGATTATTGATAGGGAAAATAGCTGCATGGTTGTCATAGTTCATCTTCATAGGAGAGGTTATACTAGTATTCATACGATGAAGTAGAGGACAAATTCACTACATCTCACACATTATATGAGTCATGGCCTGGTATTTAGCCGCTACACTCAAATGTAAAATTACATTATGTTTCGTGATGCGTATAGTAATAAGATTATTACAAATGAATTTATAGTAACCTAAAGTAGATCGCGTGTCAACACGACTAGTTGACCGGTTAGCATTTGAAAAATCAGTAATAGTTATGGATGAGAACGGTGATATAATAATCTTGTATCCGATATTCCTTTTAGATATCGAAGAATACGATAGGCTTACGAGGGGCGTGTATGAATTAACTAATTACACCACATCATAAGTAATATCAAGATGTGTAACTATGAGATAAATCAGCTTAATAGCTAACATCTAATATTGTCCTACATCATGTAAAACTTCATTACTCTCATCAAAAACTTCATCATATGATGTTTATCCCAATAATAATCCTTAGTATGGTCGGTAGCTCCACAATAAGAACATTTTCACTTAGAACGATTATTGCAACCATACCACCAACTCATCCTCCTCTATTAGTACCCCTGTCAGTTCATGACCACCACCATGTTGAGCTGGAGGTCGACCACCTCTATGACCACCACTACGACAATTTCCACGACTAGCATCACCAGAGAGTAACGTAGAGGAGTCCTGTGAGAAATAGCTTGAATTTTTTCAAAGCTCATTCAAAAATAGGAAACATACCTCGGATGGCTTCAAAAAAATTAGCAAAAATTACCACAATTATTTCCATGTAAACTTAAACCAATAGGTAGGTTTGATGGTCAACAGCTAATAACATCACGTTGATGTCAGTCGCTGACAACACGTTGAAGTCACATTGACATCAGTCATTAACAGGTGATGTCAGCAGCAGAAAAATGTTTGAAAATTTTCTACAATTTTTTCAATGTTATGTAGTCTCGGATTGATGCTCTAATACGAAGTTGAAGTAGTAAAACTGATACTAAGGTTAGCAGAAGAGAGAAGAAAAGAAGAGACGGAAGAAGGAGAATAATCAGTTGTGTGTAGAGGCTCAGTTGCCCTACACCTTATTTATAAATAAGTAATGTTTAAGGTAATTACAGTATTACACTAACTAACTTATGACTTAATGTTGACAATAAGAAAATAAGAACTCTAACAACATCCAATTTGGATGTTCAACCATATACAAATTGTGGTGGATAGGAAATTCTTGGCTGGGACCTAAACAATTTGGTGTGGTCCAGTTGCCCTAAATAATTGAACTCCAGGTCACTGCTGCATCAGTTTCATCTAGTGAGATTCTCAAATTCCGTTGCTTGTGGTTCTTAAGATAAGCTATATTATTGTACCCTTCTGTAAAAGTATACTTGAAATACCCATAAATTTTCCCATCTCATTTAACATGCTATCTTTTCTTTTCCACTATTTAGGTAATTAATTGCACTCTGTTTACGAAAAGTGAATGTAGTAATTATTGTTGCAGGATGCTTATCTCCCACAGCGGCTTTTGGACAAGTTGATGTACGTTTACAATTATGTGGAGATGGCTCGAGTCACTGGTGTGCCTATCTCATTTCTTCTTTCCAGAGGGCAGAGCATCAAGGTTATTGAACGTAACTTTTCAGCCTTTTGTATTGTTGATAGTTGCAGTGGAAGGATTATGTATTAAGAAGTTGGGTGATTTCCATTTTCTTCAGGTACTTTCTCAACTTCTTAGGAAGGCAAAACAGAAGAATCTTGTCATTCCAAATGTCAAACACGCAGGATCTGAACAAGGGACTTATGAAGGTGCAACTGTAAGTTAATCATTACTCTTCCTCCACAAAAAATTGAACCAATGAAAGATCCCATGATATACATTTTAGATAGATATTCTTGCAGTCCAAATTGCTAAAAACCGCTCCACAATTAAAAAGATCCAGTGGGATGAAAACCCGATAATATGCAACTATGGGTGGCTAAGAAGTATGGACACTCTTAAGAAGGTGACGCACCAGTGTTGCATACAAGTCGGACTCCGATGCTCTTTAGACACACTCAGACACGTGTTTAATACTCCTTTATCCATGCTCATAATTAAATAATAAAATTTTGATTTCTGACTCGTGTTCAACACTTGTTTAGGCTGTGTCTATTAGTAAACAAAAGAAAAAATAGTTGTTTAGACTAATCACGTTAAAGTTGTACTTCAAATTCACTAAGATTTACTTGCCAAAAAATACTGAATATCAATATATCTATACTTGTGATAAATCATATTATTTGGGTATAAATTATTTGTAATGTGTCCCAAACGTGTCCGTGCCCTATTTTTTGAGAAATGCCGTGTCCACGAGATTGTGTCCGATTGTATTAGTGTCCTGTATTTGTTTTCATGCTTCTTAGGCCGGAGGTTGAGTGAATCAACACCTTTAAAAGAGAATTTAAATCTACCAATCTTAGCTCTATGCTTGATTGAAAAGTGGAATTGATCACCCAAGAACACCATACTGTTCATGTAACACCACAATCCAACTCTATTCTTTTGCATTGCTAGAATTCGGTATTTGTACTTCAGTGGGCAAAGTGATAAAGTGAAGCAATATGGAGTAATCCCCAAGCGATTGATGTTACTTCATTTGAAGATAGAGAAAAAGAATACTCCTAAAATGATTACATAGTACTTAATTTGCTCATCGTTAATCTCAAATTTAAATATGTCTAGGTTTTGAACTAGCTTACTCCAATAGCACTAGTTTCTCTAGAAAATAATGCACACTTTCCAGGTCAAGGATAATAGGAAACAACTTATAACCCCAACATGAAAGGAGGAGGAGGAGGAGGAGGAGGAGGTGGGGGGAGGGGGAGAAAGCAGGTTCTGTTGTTTCTGAGGAGTACGATAGAGAAAAAAGGGGTGGTTTAAAACCTTAAGGAGATGGCTTGGATTGCTGATGTTTTCCTTTGGACCCATGAAAGACAACCCTTATAAGATTCATGAGCTGATTTAGTGCTTTAGTTTGATTACTGGGCAAATGGAGCTTGCCTTATAATTATCATTACCACGGAGACAATTTCTTGTTGACTCCCGCAATGATTATAGAGGCAGGCTTGAAGAAGTGAGTGTGCATATGCTGGGTTGAAGAAGTGTGTGCCTCACTGTTGGGTTGCAAGCACCTAGTCCTATCAAAATGAAAAGTTGCAAGCTTTGCTAAAGAAGCGAAGTTGGTGAAAGAGGAACCAGGCTAGAGGTTTGTTTAGTGTAACGTCTTTCTCCATGTGGAAATGAAAAATTAAGGGTCTGTTTGGTTTGTATGTTAGAAAATAGTATTCGAAAATAGTTTTTGGTAAGAGTTTTAGAGAAGTGTGTTTTGATGTTTTTTGAGAAGAACTTATTTGGTTTTATGATTCAATAAACAATTTTACAGAACGAAAAGCAGTAAAACCTATTTGGACAGTAACGTAGAAAACAATGAAAACAAAAATGTTGTTTGGATTGACTGTTTGATAAACAATTTTTCAAATTATTATTATTTTTTTTGGGGTTGGGGTTGGGGAGGGGGAGGGGAGACTTGAACTCTCGACCTCAAGAGGGCAAAACCTTCATAAGGTAAGGAGTACTGTAGTAAAAAAATTTGTTTGTATCCATACACAAATATACTTATCAAAGTGAATACTTATCGTACTCATAGTATCATAATACACGTTCTAATATAAGACATACCATTGTTCGTACAAAAGAGAAGTCCCACATTATCCCCATTTCTTTCCTTTGATATATATCCCATATTAACACCCTTTGATAACCCAGAGTGTCACTTGTTGACAAGGTAGCCTCAAATTTTTTCCATGTCTTTGTTTGGCAAAATCCAACTTTGATATAAACAAATAAAATGGAAAAGGCCTACTATTATGCCTACTGTTATTTGAATCGTTGGAGCTACGCCAGTGAGCGATCAACTGAATACACCAAAGCAAATACGATCAACTGTATATTAACATCAATCCAACAATCGTATAGTTATATTTCTAAGTTTTGTCCATAGTTGGGCATCAATTTATGTACAACTACACAAACAATGATTAGAAGACTTCACTTTGTCTTTAGGAAGTCCCATTGCTGATAGACCTTCTATACCACCACTCCACTGCTCCAAAATAACAAGGTGTTGTGTTTCATAAACAGGAGAAACATCAAAGTAGTGTCATTGCAACAGTCATGATTAGCTTTGTTTGCACTTTTGTCTACTCTTTGCAGCAACAACTTAGTCATTGGCTAGCCACATGAAGCTAAAGAACTTCCAAGTCAACTAGAGTTAACAATCATGCTACAATAGAACAAGATCAATTAAGACAACTGAATTAAGAATGGCAACCAATTTGTTCAGTATATTGACATAATGGGTCCGAATAGGATTTGGAAGGAAAATTACTTACATCCGCAACATACACAAATGAGCCAAAAACAAGAGAAAAATATATTGTAAATAACACTGTGATATACCATTTAGAATATAAATCACACTGATAATTCATATCACCTTCTTGCATTTTTTTGAAACCCACAAAAACCCACAAATCTATCAAACACAAAAGCACAAATCTGAACCCAACAATGCCTACTTAAGGAGCCCCAGCTGTCCTCCAAATACAGAAACCCATATTAACAATGGTTATCAACTAGAAAATTAAACCCAAATAAAGCCCCAGTAGCATGACTATTACTTTTACCTAAACTAAACACAAATCAACCCTTTACATAACAATTTTACATAGAATAGTGGGGTCATAGGCCAAATTTATACAACTTCTTTTACACAACGTCGAATCTGTTGAAGGCCATGAAAATGCCCAGGACGATGGCTAGGTTTCTGAAAGGAATAGGCAGCTTGATTTTGATGTATATTTCAGATGAATTTTTTGTTTTCAGTTGAATTTTTAGATTTTCAAAGAAGATGCTTTACAAAAAAATTTCTAGATCTGTAACAACCAGATCTGTAAACCCAAATCCAGATCTATGAAAATGCCTTACAAACAGATCCGAAGTAGATGATATCCAATGACGATGAAACCTTTTTCTTCACTGGAGAGATCTCTTGTTCTTTGGGTTGAACTGCAAACGGTGGAGAGAAGGTTGCCTTTTCTTATCCAGTTGAGAGTCAAGCTAAACAAAAAAAATGGGGGAGAGAGAAAAGATCGCCTTTTATAATCCCCTTAAGTGAACAGTAAAAAACATTTGGGTGTTCTCCGTGTTTTCACTGGTCTCGTCTTTTTTTCCTAAAAACACCAAAAATACCTTTTACCTGTTCTGTAAAATCTATCTTCAATCTTCCTTTTTTTGTCAAAAACTGTTTTTAAAAACTCCTATGTCCAAACAGGTATTTACCAGATTTTTGTATCTGAAAACAAAAAAACTGTTTTAGGAAACCAAACCAAATAGGCCCTTAACAATTTCTTGTTTCCACCTTCCATAGTGGGAGCTAACGAAAAGCGAGTTCATAAAGGTGAAAGTTGGGACAAGATTGATTTTTTTTTCTCAGATTTAGAGTGTTGGGCTAGTATTATGATATATTTTATGAATGTCCTGTATAATTGCATCTTAGGGGCATAATGGTCACTTTTCTGGAATGCTAGGTGAACAAAGTACGATGAACAGTTTAACATCACCTTATTTTCTCATGTGTTTATGTTTTAGATTCTTTCTTCTGTTCTCTTTTCTTCTCTATGTTCTCCATTCCAACACTCTCATGTGAACTGATATCAGCATGCTTTTCAAATTTTCTTTGTTATCTCCATGTAGGTTTGATGTCCTGTTATTATGTTTGCATTCTTTTGGATATGCCTCGACTGCTTAAAATTTACTTAATCTCGTATCAGTAGAAGTGCTTCTATATCCTAAAGGGAATTTTAGTGTTCTTCAATTAAAGATGGCTACATTACCTAATTTGTATCTATACTGTGACATCTTCAATTTCTACAATCCAGGTTTTGGAGGCCAGGGCAGGATTCTACGAGAAGCCAATTGCAACATTAGATTTTGCGTCTTTATACCCTTCAATAATGATGGCATATAATTTATGTTACTGTACTTTGGTGAGATACACTTCCATTGACTTTAATTAGTAAACTCCTTGGAGTATCAGTTCTCTCAAAGGGAAAACTGAATGCAATTGATCAGCATAAATGTTTGAATTTGGATGCATGTAGGTAACTCCTGAAGATGTCCGCAAACTCAACCTCCCACCAGAATGTGTCAACAAAACTCCATCTGGTGAAACTTTTGTCAAATCAACTTTACAAAAGGTTATCTCATTCCACTGGTACAGTAATACATATTATTTTCCGTATACACACAAGGATGGTCAGTATTTTTGATTATGTATTAAATATTGTTTTCAGGGAATACTTCCAGAAATTCTTGAAGAATTGTTGGCAGCTCGTAAGAGAGCTAAAGCAGATTTGAAGGTGTTTACTAATCCTTTTTTTCCTCTGGCTTTCAGTTTAGTTCTCATAAGAATAGGGTACTCTATTGGGGAATAGTCTTATATAGGTCTTTACTCTATTACTATGCCATCATTCATTGCTATGCATTGATTCTAAACTTGCTTGTTTGCGGATGCAATTTGGTTGGGGTTCATCCAGTTTAGTGACAAACAAGTCACCTTATTTTGAACCAACCTGAGTGCACAAGGAAAGATCTGAATAAAATCAGAAGCTCCAAGAAACCAGGCAAAGCCAAGCTAACCAGATTGGTTAGGGCTGATTGTCAACTTTATTTCTGGTGAATAATGTGGGTTTTTGATTTAGTCATGATCTACTATATATTTTTTCTTGACCAATAGTCATGATCTACAATAAATACACGGTTTCTAGAGATTTGGACATAAAAGTCTTATTCCCAGTCAAGAATTGAAACAAATGCCACTTACTATTGGCACATTATAGCACAATTTAATCCAAAATAAAGAATTAGGAAGCACGGATACTGATGAGAATGTCGTATCCGATATGATATGGACACAGGGATATGACAAAGTTCGAAAATATAGGACACGATTATGGTTAGGATACGACTAATTAAAGTAATATTATGTATCTTTTAGATAATAATAAAAATGTAATAAATTAAAAACAAATAATATTTTATAAAAATATTAATAACAAGACCTAACAAATATTAATTTTTTGATTAAAACTGAAATAGATCAAAATAAACATCCACCGTTTTCATTAAATATCCTTACATCCATTAACATTTATAGTCCATAAGTTACATAACAAAAAACAAAAAAATAAAATAAAGAAAACCTAGACTCTTTTTAATAATTAACAATCGTGAGATTAAAAAAAATACTATGGCCGTATCCTAGCCGTGTAGTACCCGTTTTCGATTGAATTCACCATTCAGGATATTTTTAGCCTTGTCAAACGCGTGTTTGGCCTAGTCTGACCTTGTCACGGCAGCCTTCCGACAAGTATTCGTGCTTCTTAGATAAAGAACAAATTGTTAGAGTATCCAGCTCAAAACTAATTAGCAATGGATGGAGTGACTCCCCAAGTATGTAAATCAAACTTGGGTGATCCTAGATCCTAATCATTCGATTGGGGATATGACATCTCTTTGCACTGTCCTTCATGTGGGTTCGGGTTCATTCATGGCGCTTACAAATAAACAAATACCTATGCATGACAGAAAATTCAAATAGGTAAGAGATTTGACTCAATGACCAACCAAGGCCGAATTTTGATACTGCATCCAACTCAAAACCACTTGGCAATGAGTGGAGTAGCTCCTCAAGCATGTAAACCAACCTTGGATGGTCCTAAATGCTAATCGTTTAATATGGGGTACAAGCTCTCTTTACAAAATTGAACCTAGAAAGGTGAAAGGAAGAATTTTTATCTCTAATGGGCTTGTTTGTGGGTGGCCCCAAAAAACAAAGAAATAAAAATCTAGAAAAAAGGATAATATGGGTGGGCCTAGTTGCAAGGTAACCCTTTTTATTCGGCGTGCCAATTCCCTTCTTTTTTTTGGCAAAGAACAAGTTTGCTCCTTCATCTTTTAAGAATTTTTTGGGGTTTAGTTTGGGTTTTTATTTTTATTTTTTTTGTTGGGCCTTGGTTTTGCTAATATTTCGCGGGATGAGACAGTTGATACTGACCTATCACTTGCATATTTAGTCCTTTGAAATCTTTTAGTGTCCTTTAGACCTTTGACAGTTTTTGAAAGAGGGTTGGAGAGAGTGTCTATTTATCCATCTCTTTGACTCGAAATGAGAGTAGGTTTGGTAAAGGAGTCTAGCTTTAGTCTTGTCTCAATCGGTTGACAAGTTAAGTACAAGTGGCTCGTAGATGAATCAGTCAGTTCAGTGCAAGTGGCTCGTAGATGAAACCTTCCTTCTAGGGTTGGTTAAGTATCATTCCTTTGGTGCTGGGAAAGAATTCTTAAACATGTACAAAAAGAACGTATTCATATTATGTGCCCCAACGAAGAGCCAGTTTTTCCACTGAAGGGACTCTATGCATCCAAGCAGATAAAATTAATCCTATGCATTCCTACCCAGTATCTAAGAAAACCAACCAGAGATGGTTGCATTGTTTGGTTCTCAGGTTGACCTGTCCTAAGTTGCATTCCAATTACTGAGATGGATTTTATGCTTGCAAATAACAATGTAATTTGACTTCAGGAAGCAACGGATCCCCTTGAGAAGGCTGTGTTAGATGGTCGCCAACTGGCTTTAAAGGTAAGGCATCTCAAGTTGTCATCCTATTTCTTAGTAATTATTCTTTGATCCTTTCTCTGATAGACAAGTTTTTGTTTTGAATTTTTAAGGATTTGACATTGATATGAGTCCTTAGATGTTTGTTGGTTTTTCAGATAAGTGCGAATTCTGTATATGGGTTTACAGGAGCTACTGTCGGCCAATTACCTTGTATAGAGATATCTTCAAGTGTCACAAGCTATGGTAATATATATTTGCTTATATATTTTCTTGATATAACAATGCAAAAAATACTTTCTAGACTTTTGCTTTATTTTATGAGTCTGCCATCCTTTTGAAGGTCGGCAGATGATTGAACATACAAAAAAACTTGTGGAAGATAAATTCACAATGCTTGGGGGCTTCGAACACAATGCTGAGGTACATTATCTTCAATGCTCCCATGTGGTGTTGCAGGTGCTTGTCAGTGGAGAGTGACATTGCCGAAGTGATCTGTGATTGACAACTTATGATTAGGAATTTGGTTTTAGTTTCATTCTAGCACACAAAAGTTAGCAATTAATAGAACTCAAAATTATGATCTGCCTAGTTTCAAGCACAATATGGATATCAATGCTGATGAGCATACTCCTCATTGAATACATTGTTTTGGGGAAATACAATATATTGTGGCTGGGTTTCACATCTTACTTGTTTTCTGCTATTGTTGTTTTTTAATTTTTGAAAGGCGCTTGCTAGTGGTTTAAAACCCTGTTTCTTTTCAAGATAGTGCTTCATTAATCTCCTTTTGTTGCATAAATGAAAATCAGCATAGAAGGTAAAGGAATTTATGAAAAATCAGCTCGAAACCAAGCCATCAAAATACCTTATTACATTCCCCCTCTGAGCACTATTTTTTAAAGTATTCAGCATATAACGTGTTTTCTTTAGTGCACCCTACTGTTGAGCCTGGCCTTCCAAGAATATGACTTTCAGAAGGAATGCCAAAATGCAAAATAAACCGAACAAGGTTATATAACCTTGCCATCAGATGTGGAAATCTTCATTGTGGTTTGGGTGACAATACCAAGGATACTTGCAAGATAGTTTTGCTAGTTGTGTGTCCTTGATCTTGGAAGAAAATAACAAAAAGGAGTGGGCTGATACTTATGATTCATTGCTTGGGAAAACTTCTTGAGTCACTCTTAAGAATGCAAATCCAAGGTTGTCTCGGGAAATGAGGTGATTGTGAGGCGAATTCATTGCACCTAGAGAATTTATCTGGCATTTTTCCGATCATTCAGGATGTCTGGTGTTCCTACTATCCCAGGTGTTCTCTTTTTTCTTTGGCTATAATGCAAGTTGCAAATATATAGTGCATCACAACCGATATTGGGCAAACAAAATTAGTAGGGCTAGTGGGACAACAACAGCATCTAAATGAGACAAAAGCCTTTGCTGTAGAGAGTGGTTTTGAGACAGTTTTTAAAAAGGGGTTCTGCTTACAAGTTACAATATTTGGTTTAGTACATAAATTTATTTTGCTAAAAACTAGTTTTATGATATAAGTTTTTAAAATGGGGTTCTGCCAATGCAATACTGATGTAGGGAACGTGGTGTGAAATGAAATTGAAATAAGATGAAACCTTAGACTTCTTGATTATCCTAGATAATACTAGGCTAAGGTTCTGTAGTAAGTTTGTTGATTCCGAATAATACCAAAGTAATTGGGCAGAATGGAAAACCTTCGATGTGGTATTATTTCAAACCATCAAAAGCTCCTAACTACACTGGGAAGCAAAAAAAAACCCTAATCAGATTAGGAAATAACATAACAATAAAATCTCCTAAATTTTCTTAATTGAACATCATTGACCACGATAAAATAAAAAGTCTAAATTCTCGGCATCTGTGTTGCAGTATTCTTCCTAGGTTGGAAAGCACTTGCCTTCGAATTCGCTTCATAATTAAACCTTTGCTTGAATTTAGGCTTCTGACCTACCCGAAGTCGTAGCTATCAAATAACCATCCATGACTTTTACCAAGAGGTTGAACCACATGACCCATGTGTCCTTGGGTACGTCTACAATGACAATCTCATCAACTATTTTTTTGGCGAATGAAAGATTAGAATTACAAACATGGTCTATTGTCGGAACCAGTTTGCTAAAAATGTACTCATGTTTGTTGACAACACTTGAAAAGCTCTCCATTGATGATTGCACTTAGCAACCTGTCCATTGCAACTTCCTTGTTATGTACTATGTATAACCCCATTGTCTCATCATAGGCAAGACATAATTTAGAAAATATTCCTCCACCACAATCAATAGGAATTGATTGTTTTGTTGGCTTATCTCCACCTTCTTGCTATAGTGCTACTTTACTTGTATGCACACTTGGAAGAGAATTATAAACAACCTTAGATGAAATGGTTGTGGTTGCTCATTGGCTCTCTTGGACATGCTTCAAGCTATAAATATTGATCAACTAAAGAGAAGAAGAAAGGAAGAATATGTTCCGGCCCTATTAGACTGTCATAATCCTTACTCTAAAATACATAGTAGACCCTTATATAGCAGGACAACATAAAATAAGATAGATGATTAAACTATTCTTAGTACTAATATTAAAATACGTTGACATCTCTCCTTAAACTCATGATGTTGCAACCGAGAACATCAAGAGTGTGTTGAGAAGAAAACGGAAGCATGCCATGGTGTGAGATTTTGTAAAGAAATTCACTAGTCGCATGGTAGAAGGAAAAAAAGGGAGAGATATAATGTCTAATTGAAGATGATGACTTACAAAGTGATAGTCAATCTCAATATGCTTTGTACACTTACAGAAAACTAAGTTGTGAGCAATTTCAATGACATTGGTGTTGTCACAATACATAGGACTAGGTGCGTCTAAAAGGATGCCAAGAGCACGAAGTAGCCACTGTAGCCAGACTATCTCAACTGTGGTAGATGTTATAGCGCAATATTTAGCTTTAATTGAGGAATGAACAATAATAATTTACTTCTTACTCTTCCAATAAATGACATAATCTCCAAGAAAAAGATAGAAACCAGTGGTGGTCTTGCAATCAATAGAGTCACTAGCTCAGTCAACATCTGAGTAAACTTAGAGTTCCATAGAAGAAGAAAATAATAAACTCTAATGTAAGGCATCCCAAAGATATTGAGGATGCAGAGAACAACAGTTCAGTGAACAATGGTTGGAGAACCAACAAATTGAATAACAAAAAACACAACATTCGAAATATTTGGCCATGTAATTGTTAGATATCTGACAAAAGAGTACCGTTAGAGGAAGAATGACGAACATTGAACTCTAGGGGTGTCTTAATTGTCTGATTATGTGATAAGTGAGCTTGATGAATAACATTTGATGCATACTTAGATTGAGAAAGGAGAGAATCATTGGGAGATAAAACAACTTCAATCCCTAAGAGTTGGCCCAAGTTTTTTATCTCAGAATGATTCTACAATTGATTTTTCAATAGTTGTATATCAACAGTGTCATTACCCATAATAATCATATCGTCAATATAAAGCAAAATAACAATAGAACCTGAGGAAGTGGATTGGATAAAAAAAGTTCCCTCGGAGCTTGTATAAGGCCATATAGAGGTTTTTGAAGTTAATAAACTTGACTAGAACTATGAGACAATTTAGGTGGAGTCATAAAAACTTTTTCAGACAAATCTCTATGGAGAAAAATATTTTTCACAATCATCTGAGATAAGCTCCATTGAAGAATGGTAACAACTGAAATCATAGTATGAACTATAATCACCTTGGCAATAGGGGCAAAAATTTTCTCGTAGTCTAGGCCATACTCTTGGGCGAATTCCTTGGTTACTAATATAGCCTTGTACCTCTACACAGAACTATAAGTCTTCGTTTTAATTTTATAAACTCACTTACAGTCAATTGTATGTTTGTTGGGAGGTAAAATTACCAGCTTCCAAGCTTGGGTCTTATGGAAGATAGATAGCTCCTTATCCATAGCCTGTTGCCAAAGAGGGTCAAGTATAGCTTTCTTACAGGATATGGGGTCAAATAGAGTGAATATAAATGAGAAAGGAATAAAATTCAGAAGAATAACATGAGTTGGAGAAATCAAACGTATCTGTACACTTTCAAGAACGCGTAGATAGGGAGAATCCTAATACACATCATTAGAATCTAATTGAGGGACCGAGGAAGAAGGGAAAAACAAAACCTCCGGAGAATAGACAACGAGAGTCCTACGAACATAAGTATGCACAGTAGGGAACTGGTAACTAATAAATCAGAAATAAGAGAAAAGGCAGAGGGAATATAAGACACAAATATATTACCTACATATGTGTCATTGGGAACATCAATGGGAAAGTGATCATTTAAATAAGATTATATTGACGCACAGATGAAGAGCTAGATGAAATTGAGAAAAAAAAGATATGCTCAATGAAGATAATACGGCGAGAGACATAAAATTTGTGTAATATGATCATAACAGTAATAACCTTTTTGACTTTCACCATAGCTACGAAAAACACAAAGTTTAACGAGTAAAAAGTTTGGTACAAAGGATAGTAGGAACCAAGTACAACCAAACATACATAAAAAGAAATAATCGGGTGACTTAGCACATAATTTCTCAAATTGGGAGACACCAGAAGTGAGGATAGTAGGCATGCAAGTAATTAGATGAACTCATGAGATTGTTTCCCCCCAAAAATGTGTTGGAGACATTGGATGACAACAAAAGAGAACGGACAATCTTGACTATATGATGATATTTGCGTTCAGCAATGCCATTCTGCTCATGTGTATTAGTACAAGAGGATTGATAGGTAGTACCATTAGATTTCAACAAGTTTCGAAAGAAAGTAAGAGAGTATTAACCTCCTTGATCACATTAAAAGCATTTAGTGACAAAAGAATACTGAGTATGTACCATAGCACGAAAAGTAGCAAATATAGAAAAGAATTTAGATTGTCGTTTTATCAAATATACCTAATAGTACCTAGTGTAATCATCAATAAAATACACATAATCTCTGGACCCTTTTTGTGTAGAAATAAGATCAGGTCCTCAAATATCAGAATGGACAAGGCCAAATGGCGCAAGAGAGCGAGTAGAACTTTTATTGATAGGTAATGCAGTAAATTTTGTTAACTTGCATCCACAACAACCAAAAATGTCATGACACTCTAAACTGCCCAAACCACCCGTAGAGATTTAAAATTTTAAGTGTGAATGAAAAATATAATCAAGGCGAAAATGCCACAAATAAAAATTAGATTGTAGACTCAAACGAAAAAAATATAAATTGACTAGAGAAGTTGCGAATGTTGTAGCTCTTCCAACACGTATGGTCTTCCCTTCATACAGTTTATTTCAATCAATTTCTTGGACTGTGGATCTGCACAACATAACCAAAAGAAGAGAAATGAACCAAAAGTCCTGAATCAAACAATTAACTAACTAAAATTAAATTTAAGAGCATGGTTTTAGGTATCGACCGAGTCGTATCTGACTTGGCCACACTTGAGACGATAATGATATACAATACACAAACATCGTGAGTTGCAACAATATCGGTCATATCTCGGTCAGACTCGAATGTATCGTCACAAATCGGACGATTCATAACGGAATTGGTTTGATATGATCGAATCTTGCGCAAAATTCCCAAAATCTCGTACAAATAGCAAAAATCCAAAACCTAAAGGAAAAAGGTGAAGAACTTCAATACCAACATCTGTAAATGGCTAAAAGCCATCAACCAGTTCGAAAAACTCGGACAGAAAAGCTAAAGAGAAAAAGAAATGATGAGAAAGAAATTAAAAATTCAAAGGCCCACTGTTACAAAGATTGTAAGCATTCGTATGACATACCAGTAGAATCGAATATAGATCGGAGAGATCCCATATTGCGTCATCTCTGTCTTCTCTCTCTCTCTCTTTTTTGATTTTCTTCGCTACAAACCAATCATAATAGACAGAGAAGTAGAATCGTGGAAGCCTCATTGCTCCAGCCCTAGCCGTCTTCTAGTGACTGCCGGTGGGTTCTTCAAATCCATTCTCAAATCTCTCTCGATTGAGATACACAAAGCGTCTAAAAGACAGTCTCATTGAGTATTTTAAGACTGTGTCCATCGATCCCCAAGTCCCACCGAGTGAAAAATGCATACCCTAATTGTTATTCTTTTTAATTTTCTTTTTACTTAATTTTTTTAAGTGTGGTTAATTTATTTTATTTTTCAATAATAAAAAATATCAGTATTTTTTAATAATAAAAAAATCAGTATTTTCTAAATCTAATGTAATAATTAGATAAATTAGTATTTTAATTACAACAAGTTGAACACTGATAATGATAATTCTTTTTGGTAGCGCTCTTATGTTTTATTTTAATTATATTTATTGTGTTTTTTGATGTATTGTGGACATATAATACATGGATGATGATGTTTTTAATTTTTAGATTTTTTCATATTTTTTTGGAGCTTTTATCGAGCGTTTTGAATGTATTAGTCGATATTTCACTGCAACGCCGCGAATCGATGGTCAATACCACGACTTTGAATTATGTCAGGAAGTATGAGTTGGATAGAAAAAACTGTCTCAACACTAGCCAGACATTTGTGTGTCATTGACTTTAAGGACTAATATTGATGGAGGAGAGACTATAGATGCAAATAAAAAAAAAATACTGGTCATCTGATATATGACACTAGAGTTAAAGAACTAGGCAGTTTGAGATATACTTGAAAGATTTGAAGTGAATGTATTTACAGAGGGAGAAATTGGCAGAGCACCCGATTGATGGAGAGAAAAAAGCTTCTGCAATTTATCAACAATCATAGTCACGCTGGGAGCTAATGGTGATGACACATCCCTTAGTGGTGCAACAACGATTGTGTGATGATCTCTAGGCTTAAATAGTTGGTTTGGAGACCCCTAAACATTCTTATTCACCAATTTCGATCACTGGGCCTTTCAATGGCCCTTTTCACGATAGAAGTTACACTCGTTTGCAGCTCCACCTCGATACTTACTTTGTGAATTGGAATGTACCTTTGGAGGTATTACCACTACAGTTTGATTTGGCAGTGAAAGAAGACCCTTTCCGGGGGTGACGATGAAGAATAGAGCCATAGAGCCCCTCAAAATCATCTTTGAGTGCCATCAAGAATTGCACTAATTGTTGCTCCTCTCTAAAAGTGGTATGCCATATTAGTGCTCAGTTCATCAAGTTCAGCGAGTGCTAACTGGTCCCAATATCCGGTCATAAGTGTAAAACTCTTGTATGTTCCTAACACCTTGATGTATAGCTCAAATTTCATGTTAAAGTTGGTTTCTTTTTACAAAATTGGACTGAATAAACAAAGTAGCTAAATAGTCATAAATTTTTTTGGCTGTAGTAAGCTTCAGCAAATAAACACCAATGGTCTAATCAATTGAGTTGTTGATCCACGTAATTGATCTAGACATTATTGATGTCCCACTGGTTCTTCAAATTAGTATACATTTCTGTCTTAGTGTATGTAGGAGCTGTCACGACACCATTAACATAGCTCCACATATCTTTGCCAAACAAAATTTTTTCATAACATAAACCAATAAGTATAATTTCCACTAGTTAATTTTACAATGATGGCTTGAAGAGAATTGGTACTCTCACTTGCCATGACCAGATCACAATAAATCAAATCAAAAGATCCAAGCTCACAAACAAAATTATGCCTAATGAACAGCAAAACAAGCCACACTCAACAGTGAAGCCAACCAATGGCAATGTTCGAGCCAAAACTTCTACCAACAGTACACAAAAAAGAAACTCAGAACAGAGGAGTCCAACAAACCAGAGAAGAAGAGGAACAAAGTCTTCCAGCATGCCAGGAGAGAAGAAGAGAAACCAGAAGAACCAGAACTGGAAGAAGAGGAGAACAAAACCAGCAACAATGAACCAGAACAGAACCTGCAACTCCTCACAGTGCAGTGAACCAGAGAACAAGAGAAGGACAGTCAGATTTTTGTCCCACACTTCTTCAAAATCCTTTGACTCTCTTGCCCAAACACAAAGAAGCCTGATTCGCACCTTGTACCAGGGATTTGATCCAGAAAAATCCACAAAATCAAACCCAGATTTTGGATCTAAAAAATCGCTGAAAATTGACAATGAGTGGGAAGGCTTTTAAGCATATAAACTAAACTTGGGTGGTCCTAGTCATTCGGTGCGGGATACATACTCTCTTTACACAAGCGATTTGAAATTATTTATCTTATTTTCTTATATTTCACTAATTTTGGAGACTTATTGCGCTTGAGATTCAAGTTCAAACATGTGGTGAGACCCAATTTCATCAGCATAAACATGAATAGGAATGCTAACATTCCTGTTCACTTAATTTGCTTCCTTTACTAGGCTAGTTCATTATTTTCTGTCAATTATCATGGAAATGTACATTTTTTTGGTGGTCCATACATTTTCTTGTTCACTGGATCGTGCACATCTCTCTCTAGTCAATAATAGATACCTAGTTATGCTTAGATACTTTTTGGCTCCCCTTCAGAAGCGATCATTTTGAATCAGGTCATATATGGAGATACAGATTCAGTGATGGTGCAATTTGGTGTGTCCACTGTGGAAGTAGCTATGAACTTGGGTAGGGAAGCTGCTGACTTCATTAGCGGGACATTTACTAAAGTAAGTCTTGTCTTTAAGCTTTGTTTTATATTTGTTTTGGCCATCTTGTATGGATTCCATACTCATTCGTGTTAGATCCCTCTCTATGTGTTTTCAAATTCATTAGTTCTAGACTTGATTCTTGAAATATTTACTAATAGATTCTTTGGTGGATTGGGTGTTTTAGTACAAAATCCATTGGAGATTAGGCACTAGTAATGCAATTACCAGTTTGAAAAGTTGAACCAGCCAATCCTTTTGTACATTAGTTTGTAGTGGTCAATTTTTTAAACTTGTACATCGGAATGTTCCATGCATTGAGTTAAGCTCAACTTCTTTTTTACTGATCTCAACAGCTTTTGAAGTTAACCAGTCATGGTCAGCTTCACAAATCCGAGTTACTGATCAACTTTGAAAGTCATACCCTTTTGTTGGACTATAAGCCATCATGTATTTCATGGAAAGGCGAGTTACCTTTCTTTCTTGTCATTGGTGAACTTTTAATGTCTAGTATCTCCCTCCTGGAAGATATGGTCAAATAATTTTCTATTGACAGCATGCATTTTTCATCAATTACTACTGCTTTTAGCTTTTTGCTTATGATTATTATCCCATGATGTATGCGCCTTGTTGATGATGTGGTCTTACCTAGGGAGGCTGGAGCTTGGGGACAAGTGCTTAGAATCAAAGGGGTTTTTGTAGGAGTAGAACTAAGACTACAAATTTTGATTTTGTTACATTTCCTTAAGCTTGATAAAATTGCATCTTATTGGAAGGTTTGCTTGCTAATAGTTTTGTCAGCGGTATTTGTAACTTAAAAGAACTTTCACCTTTCTTTGTGTTGTGACATTGGTTTTGTTGTGTTTTTAACTTCATGCTGATGTACTCTTTTCTTGTTCATTTGGTTTTTTTTTTAATTTTGAAGCCCATAAAACTAGAGTTTGAGAAGGTCTATTATCCATATTTACTTATTAGCAAGAAGAGATATGCTGGTCTTCTATGGACAAATCCAAACAAGTTTGATAAAATGGACACTAAAGGTGAGCAAGACTTTTTCTCAACATCCCAGCTTCTGTATATCCTATAGATTTTACCTCTTTTAATATATTTATATATTTTGGGTGTGTTCTGTATATCCTGTTGACTTAGTGTTAGGATTTCTAATTTTCATTTGCAGGGATTGAAACAGTTCGAAGAGATAATTGTCTGTTGGTTAAAAACCTGGTAACTGAATGCCTTCATAAAATACTGATAGACAGGAACATTCCTGGTGCTGTTCAGTATGTCAAGAATACAATCTCTGATCTTCTTATGAATCGCATGGATTTGTCTCTTTTGGTTATCACCAAGGTAAGAATAAGTTCTTGGCTGAATGGTGCAGTCCTGGTCTGCTCGCCATTAGTCTGAATTATTGAAGATTTGTTTGTTGTAATGCTTATAGAAAAGTTATTTCACCTGGACTAACTTTTTGAGTTCAATAGGGTCTGACGAAGACGGGAGATGATTATGAAGTAAAAGCAGCACATGTTGAACTTGCAGAGCGGATGCGTAAGGTTGGTTGTATTTCATTCAAGTAATCATTTCCTTTGAATTGCCTTCTGTCATTTGAGTAGTTACCATCTGACAAATATATGATACACTTCTCTCTTACCATTAATGTTTGGGGTACCTTTTGTTGTAATACAATATTTGAAGATTCAATACTATGTTGGCAACTTTGAACTGACATGATGTTATAATGTAGCGGAAGTATTGGACTTTTATGTTGTGCTCCAAGTTATATGTATACTAGGGGTAATTCGTGCATGGCAGGGTAAGTGAGAAGTGATGAATTTTTTTTTTTTTTTGGTTGGTGGGGGGGGAATTCAATGTGAATGGTTTTAAGAGGGATGTTGGTGGTTGTTGGATGAATCTATTTAAGACAGTTAGATGGGCTTATTGAAGTCTGTCCTGTTTTATATTATATATATAAAAGTCAACGTGTCTGGTTTCATGAACTCTTGAGCAAAGATATCTATGTTTCCGATGATTGGTTTGTTTCCTTGGATTTTTCTTTTTATGTATGTGCATATTGCATCTTTTGTTTCTACTTTCCTGAAATCAGATGACTCCCGTTTGACTTTAAATGCTTTGTGTAACCACCTCCCATATACTTGCTTGCTGTCATGATGTTGTGAGGTGTTTTTCTCTTCCATTTGAACATCTCTACAGAAATAATTCATATGTTTCTATAGGTTCTTAAAAACTTTGATGGTGGTGTCTTAATGGAATATTGATTGTTCCTGTTAAGAGTATTTTAGTATGTTAGTGTTAGGGCTAGTGTAGTCACTTATTTTATTTTTTGTTGCCCGACTATATAAGGACCTCTATTGTGTTTCTTGGGTTAAGCTGTAACAAACTTATGCAGCCGCAATAATAATTTCTCTTGTTTCCTTTTCGTTCTCTCTTTTGTTATTGATATCTTCATTGTTTTCAGTTCCGACCCCAAAAAGAAAAGGAAAATTTGAAATAGATAAATTATGGTCTTGATGTTGTGATGACAGAGAGATGCTGCCACTGCTCCAAATGTCGGGGACCGAGTACCTTATGTCATTATTAAAGCTGCAAAAGGTGCCAAGGTAATCTGTTTGGTGATGTTACTATTGGACTACCGCATAGCATTGCCTATGTGAGTGACGAATTAAATTGGGTGGTTAATGACAACAGGCTTATGAAAGGTCAGAGGATCCAATATATGTGCTAGAAAATAACATACCCATAGACCCTCAGTACTACCTTGAAAATCAAATAAGCAAGGTCAGTTTAGCATGATATTTTCTGCTTTTAGTTTGTTCTCTGCCCTACCTGTTCTTGATAATCTGCTAATTTGCAGCCACTTTTAAGAATCTTTGAGCCCATTCTGAAGAATGCTAGTAAAGAACTTCTTCAAGGAAGTCACACAAGATCCATTTCTATCTCTACTCCTTCAAACAGTGGCATAATGAAATTTGCTAAGAAGCAGCTAAGTTGCATTGGGTGCAAAGCTCTAATCAGGTATAAATAAATGCTATGTTCTGTTTTTTGCCTACTATTTTGACTTCTTGTTCGGGGGTGGTGCGCAGGTGTGGTTGCTGGATTTCTCTTTTATCCTTAGTTTGCTTGTGAAATGCTCCAATCCTTTTTTTCTTTGGAAGATTTTGTTTCTCACAGGTCAAATGTCATTTCACAGTGGTTATATGTCTATCTAAAAAATTTGCCACTTCTTTTTATTATGGGGCAGTGGGTGGAGGCTGATAAAATTGATCAATGAGAATAGGGAAGAGAAAGAGAAAGAGAGAATATATTATTCATAAAGAAGTCTGTAATACATAGCTTAACCTAGAAATTCACAAAGTAACCCTTATATAGTAGGACAACACAACAAAAAGAAAATGCCTAAACTACCCTTATTATGAATACTCTAACACCCCCCCTCAAACTCATGATGTGGTAGAAAACATCAAGAGTTTGCCAAGAAGAAATCTAAAACGTGCTATGGTGTGAGACTTCGTAAAAAAATCCGCTATCTGCATTGTGGAAGGAAGAAAGGGGAGAGTGATGGTGCCGTGCTGCAGATGATGATTCACAAAGTGACAATCAATCTCAATGTGTTTTGTGCGCTCATGGAAGACCGAGTTTTGAGTAATCTGAATAGCACTGGTGTTGTCGCAGAACATATGAGTAGGAGATGATATCGAAATACCAAGATCAGCAAGGAGTCATTGTAACCAGACTATCTCAGCTATAGTTGATGTCATAGCATGATACAACTTCAACAGAAGAACGAACAATAACAGTTTGTTTCTTGCTTTTCCAGGAAATAAGAGAATCCTCAAGAAACAGGCAGAAATCAGTGGTAGACTTGCGATTCATAAAGTCACCAGCCCAGTCAGCATCAAAGTAAGCCCCGAGTTCCATAGAGGAAGAGTAAGGAAAGAGTAAACTCTGATGTAGAGTATCACAGATATACTGAAGAATGCGAAGAACAGTAGCTCAGTGAACGGTGGTATGTGAGGTAACAATTGACTCACAATGTGAACAGCATAAGAGATATCCGGACGAGTGACTGTAAGATTTACTAAACTCCCAACAATAGTCTGATAGAGGGTTGTGTCAGATAAGGGAGTACCATCAGATGAAGAGTAATGAACATTGAGCTCTAAAGATGTCTCAACTGTTCGATTATCCGATAAACGAGCTCGTTCAATAACATCTGAAGCATACTTGGACTAGAAAGAAGATATCCTTTAGACGAGGAAACAATCTCAATACCCAAGAAATATCTAAGCTGTCCCAAATTTTTCATCTCAAAATGGTCCTGCAACTGGGTTTTCAATAAGCATATGCCAACAGTGTCATCATTCGTAATAATTATATCATCAACATATAGTAAGCAAATAATAGAACTTGAGGAAGTAGACCGTAAAAAGAGAGCAAAATCATGGTCATTGGCACGAAAACTCAAGTCATAAATAACCGAAGAAAATTTGGCAAACCATGCTCTGGGAGCCTGTTTAAAACCATATAAGGCATGATAAAGTCAACATATTTGACCAGAACTATAAGATAATCTAGGGGGAGGTGTCATAAAAATCTCTTCAGTCAAATCTCCATGTAGAAATGCATTTTTCACATCTATTTGAGACAAACTCCATTGTCGAATGGCAACAACTGCAATCACGGTGCGAACAGTAGTCATCTTGGCCACAGGAGCAAAAGTCTCGTCATAATCTAGACCATATTCTTGAGCAAATCTCTTGGCTATTAATTGAGCTTTATATCGTTCCACAAAACTATCCTACTTGGTTTTTATCTTATAAATCCACTTACAACCAATGATGCATTTACCATGCAGTAAAGACACTAGCTCCTAGGCTCTGGTCTTATGTAAGATAGACAACTCCTCATCCATAGCCTGTTTCCAAAGTGGATCAAGTAATGCCTCCTTGTAGGAGGAGGGTTCAGATAGAGAATGAATAGAAGTAAAGAAAGAACAAAAGTCAAAAGAATAACAAGTATTGCTCCGATCAAACCTGTTTGGACATTTGTGAGAGCGCTGAGGATAGCATGGGGTATGATCCAGTGTCTGAACTTGATTGGGCGGCCGGAGAAGAGAAAGGAGGCATTGCATCCGGAGAGGAGATAACTGGAGTCCTGCGAACATATATATGCACAATAGGGGGACGAGTAATAGTCGACTCAGATGATGAAGGATCTGGCACACGTATATCACCAACATATATATCATGAGGAACATTGGTAGAAAAGGAATCAATGTACAGCAGGTCAGACTTATTCAATGAGGAAGAGCTAGATAGAATTGAAAAGAAAGGAATATGCTCCTTAAAAACATGACGAGAGATATAAAGTTTGCGGGTGATGGGATCATAGCAATGATACCCTTTTTGACCCTCACCATAACTAAGAAATACACATAAAGCTGAACGGACAGAAAGTTTGGTACGAAGAACACTAGGGAGCAAAACAAAATAAGTACAACTAAACACGTAAAGAAAAATAGTTAGGTGGCTTACCACATAATTTTTCAAATGGAGAGACTTTAGAGGTGAGCATAGTAGGAATGATGTTGATCAAATGAACTGTTGTCAAAATTGCTTCTCTCCAAAATGAGCTGGGAACATGTGCTGATAAAAGAAGGGAACGTGCTGTCTCTAGAATATGACGGTATTTTTGTTCGGCAATACCATTCTGCTCAGGTGTGTCAGTGCAAGAAGATTGATAAAGTGTACTATCAGACTTCAACAGATCATGAAAAGAAGTAAGAGTATATTCATCACCGCCCTGATCACATTGAAAACATTTAATGATTGTGGAATATTGAGTGCATATCATGTTACGAAAGGTAGTAAAGATAGAAAAGAATTCAAACCGATGTTTAATCAAGAATACCCAACAGTACCTCGTGTAATCATCAATAAATGAAACATAATATTTGGACCCTCATTGTGTAAGAATAGGAGCCGGTTCCCATATATCAAAGTGAACAAGATCAAATGGTGTAAGAGAACAAGTAACACTTTTATTGAATGACAATGCACTAAATTTAGCCACCTTGCATCCACTACAATCAGAAATGTCATGGCTTCTTAAATTACCCAAACTACCAGTTGAAGCTAAAAATTTTAAACGAGAATAAGAAACATGACCAAAGACAAAAATGCCATAAATAAAAACTAGATAACTATGGACTGAAACGAAAAGAAGATAAATCAACAGTAGAAGCAGTAGCATCAATAACTGGGACATGCGGCTCCTCCGATACATATAGCCCGCCCTGTCTACAGCTAGTTCCAATCAGCTTCTTGGATCGTGGATCCTGCACAACACAATTAGAGGAAGAGAAATGAACCAAAAATTCAGAATCAAATAGTTGATTGACTGAAAGTAAATTCAAAGTAAGTTGAGGAATATGATAGACATCTGAAAGTGTAATGTTGGAAGAAATAATTGTCCCAACACCAGCTAATGACATGTGAGAACCATTGGCAGCAAGGACAGATAAAGAGGAGGAAAACAATAGATGAAAACAAAGAGGAGTCATTGGTTATATGATGTGTGGCACCTGAGTCAAAGACCCAGGTAGTTCGTGATATACTTGAAGGACCTGAGTTGAACGAACCTATAGTGGAAGAAATTGTGAGAGCACCAGGCTGATGAAGAGAGAAATTTCTGTGGCTGATCTGTAGCATAGTCAGGTTAGGAGTTGATGAAGTTGACTTATCCACTGGTGGTGCTACGACCGCTGTATGACGTTCTCTAGACTTAAATGACTGATTTTGAGATCCTTGTGCATTCTTGTTCATCAACTTTGGACATTGGGCCTTCCAGTGGCCCTTTTCACGACATAAGCTACACTCATCGGAAACAACTTGACCTTGATATTTGTTTTGGGAATTAGAAGCCACTTTAGAAGGAACAGCCAAGATAGTCTGATTTGGTAGTGGAAGAAGACCTTTTCCAGAAAGCGTTTTAAGGTGAATCTCTTCAGCTAAGAACTCATTAACAACTGTATCTACTGAGGGGAGTGGGTGACGATGAAGAATAGAACCACGAAGTCCCTCGAAGTCATCCTTAAGGGCCATCAAGAATTGCACCAGCCTCTGTTCCTCTCTGAAGGTGCGATATGCCAAATTAATGCTTAACTCAGTGGGTTCAGTAAGTGCTAACTAATCCCAAAAGCCAGTTATAGCAGAATAGAATTCTTGGATGGTTTTGTCCCCTTGGCGCGCATCTCGAATCTCATGCTTTAGTTGATACCTCTTTGTAAAATTAGACTGAACAAAAAGTGTGGTCAAATAATCCAAAATTTTCTTAGCAGTGGTAAACTTGGATAGATGAACCCCAATGGTCTGATCAACTGAGTTATTAATCCAGGTGATAATTTTCGCATTGTTAATATCCCAAGTACTCTTCAAATCAGCATAATTTTTTGTCTTAGTATCAATTGGAGGCTGTAAAACACCACTAATATAATTCTACATGTCTTTCCCTAACAAAATTTTTTTCATAACATAAGCCCAATAAACATAATTTTCACCCATTAGTCTCACACTAATGACTTGAAGTGAATCAGAGTGACCACTTGCCATTGTAGTAACAATTATCAATCAGCACCACAGTCACATTCAAACTCAGCAGCCCAAAGAAGTAATAACACCAAATAAGCCAAAAACCCAGCGGAACCCAACAGAGCAAAAAGCCAACTGTTGAAGCAAGCAAAAAACCCAACTCACCCATAGTTGCCGAAACAAGCCAACCAATCTAGAATGCCGAAGTCACAACAAGAAAACCACCCACAACTGAAGATTTGAAGATCAAAGCAACCCACAAAGACTTTCGGTTGCTGTTCTTATCGTAAACAGTAGCCTGACAGTCCCAAGCAGCAAATAGACACCCAAAATCAAACCAAAGACCTTCAAATCACACAAACAGCCAGTCTATACTCTTAATCGCACCCTTTAGACTTGATTGGAAGCAAGTAATTCGAGAAAGACAACCCCAATTCACAGATCAAAAAATAGGGCTGAAATTTTTGAAAAATCATTCAAAAATTAGAAAACCCTATCCGATGACCTCCAAATCAAAAACAAAGCATACCATTGGAAAGCCCATGAAGAATCGAGTACTGTAGTACTCTCCTTGCTCCAGTTTGATGACGTTAGCCCTAGTTCAGAAGAGGTTGAAACATTTGCTGTGTTCTTAAAACAAATTTTAAGAATGCTAAGATCAAACCATGCTCTGATACCATAATAAAATTGATCAATGAGAATAGAGAAGAGAAAGAGAGAGAGAATATATTATTCATAAAGAAGTCTGTAATACACAGGTTAACCTAGAAATATACAAAGTAACCCTTATATAGTAGGGCAACACAACATAAAGAAAATGCCTACACTACCTTTATTATGAATACTCTAACTGAGGCGTCTGAAATTGTTGGACGAGAAAAGACAAGACTATGAAATAAAGTTTCCCAATTGCCTATTATCTAGTTCTACTTGAGAAGCTCCATGTGTCATTTTATATATGTCGCTCGTCAAGCCTAAGATCTACATTACAATGACTTCAGTGTTTTTCTGTTCACTCATTCCCCTGTTTTTGATTTTTTTTTTTTTTATTTACTGAAAGAGCATAAAATTAAAACCACTTCACAGCTTGTAAGTGACACCAATTGTGTTCTCTATCTTGAAAAATCTAATCAATATCTTGCTGTCTCATTTCAAACAATTTATGGAGGCTGAATTAAGTTGTTCACCAGCTTTTTTGATTTTCGTGTTTCATCCATGCTCTATTAATTCATTCATGCAGTGAGAAGTCATCCTCAATATCTATTAGAAAGCAAATGGGTTTGTGAAATTTTCTTCTAGTAAGATCACTGATAATTCATTTTTGTAGGATAGTTTAACAATCAGTGTTTTTGCATGTACCAGTAATTCTGATCACACTCTCTGCTCCCACTGCAAGGGAAGAGAAGCTGAACTTTATTGCAAAACTGTAGCTAATGGTATGCCAGAACTGCTTGTATTCTAATTTTAAATATCTCACTTAAGTCTGTTGAATTTTTTGTTGTTTCTAATGACCACCGTCTCTGAGACAATAAATTATTGATGCAGTGTCGGAGTTGGAGAAGCTTTTTGGTAGGCTGTGGACACAGTGCCAAGAGTGCCAAGGCTCTCTTCATCAAGATGTGCTTTGCACTAGGTTTGTCTATTGTATCTATCTTATGGTTTTGTACCCTGCATAATTGTGTATCCTGTTATGTACTGTATCTGTTTAAAAAATGCTGGCATGAAAGTCAGGTGTCCTCTCATCGCCCCTTTCATATCACATTATAACAATTTCTTTTGTATACAACTCGTGGTTGTGAGCTTGCGGTCTGTAATGATGACCAAGCCATTGCCGGTTGTGGCACTTGCGCTTGTGCCTGTCATCTCTCATATGCTATATTGTGCTATGGTTTTAACTGCTGTTGTTCTTTCTTTCACTTAGTCGGGATTGTCCAATATTCTATCGACGGAAGAAGGCACAGAAAGACATGGCTGAAGCCAAGCTCCAATTGGATCGGTGGAACTTCTAATGTGGGTGATTTTTGTGTTCCCAAATTCAATCTGTTTAGTCAAGAAAAGCTATGAATACACTTGGCATCATTTATGAAAAGGCCATGGGTTGAAAGTGAAGTGAACTAAGATATCTCATTCAAATTTTTTGGGCCAGTTACTCGTGAGAAGACTGTTGTTAAGCCCCGACTTCTGAATCCGTCACTCGTCACGCAGATTATGCAGTGTGAGACTGGAGACAGCAAGTTTCATATTTGCCAGATACAGGGAAGAGTTCTATGATGACCCTGGCTTCCGGGTTGCGGTGGTAGAAAACGAGGCTGGTTGGCACAGATGTTCATGACTATTTCAGGTGGCATTGTAGGGCTGGGAGTTACACCAGTCTATGCAAGTTAAGAGCTTAAAAACTGACGAGGTTAGGTTTTCTTGTACAGTTTTTATCTTAAGGGTTTGGGGTCTGAAGTTTATGTGGGCATGTATGCCGACTATGGAAATCATCGAAATCTTTTGGTACAAAGGGAAGGAATGTATGCAAATAGTGTAATTTCAGTATTTATATTTCAAAACGTCCCTTTACATGCAAGTTAGATTTTGCATGTAGCTTGAGTTTTTAGTGTAGACATGGGTTCAAGATGGTATTAGAGTTTAGAAATTGTGAGTTCAAATCATTCCACGCCTCTCCCTTTACCATACAAAAAGAAACACAGTGATGGATCACTCAAGCGAGGCCACTCGCGAGGGGCAATAGTAGATAAATACATATGTAACACGTTTCTCTAATAACTTAAAACTTTTTTTCAACTTATCGAATGAGATGGTTGTTTAAAAAATATAAGTATTTTTAATATTTTTTCAGCAAGTTGCATGGGCTTTTACCCTTCGAAAATCAGAAAAAATCATCTACCCCATTCAACGCATACTGCAAGATGGTGAAATTAGCAACATTTGGGATCAAGCGTAGTTGTTAAAACCATTGACGATGGGGTGTATTCTTGCTATACTTTGAAGGGTATTACCGCAATTTACTATTAATGTTTTTAGCCCTCCAATGATTTGTATTTGCTTGTGTAGACATCTGTGGGGATATTTTATTGACATCTATAGCAGAAGTAATACTTTTTGCTTGTCAAAGGAAGAAAGTTTGTGAATGTTGAAGTCAAAATCAGAAAGGAGAAGAATTTAAATGATACTGGGAGTTCCAGTTTTCTTGTTTGGTTGTGTTGGAAAACTAGATGGAAAGATTATATCAAAGAAAAATAATGGAAACTTTTATAACTTAGAAGAAACTTGAATTCACCTTTCAAAATGATGAATAAAACTTGAAAAAAATGAAATCACAATCTTTCTTTGAAAAGTAATTTATTTTCCGTCTCTGTTCTTTTTCTTCTTTGTGTTTGTCCCTTTGTCTTTCCTTATTCTTTTCCTTTCCCTCTGTTTCCATTTCAAGTTGCACAGTGCAACTGCAAAAGGCATTTTGGATTTTAGTTTTCAAGGATATGGGCGAAATTTCAAGGAAATACTTTCTTGTTTCAAACTATGTTTACATCATCATACAGAGAGATTGGTTGGTTTAAAATTGTATGTACGGTATGGTTACATAGGGTTAAACATATTTCAAATCAAAGTTTTTGTAAAATTAACAAAGTACACTCAACAATCAAATGAATTGTGGTGACCCTGTCTTACGATGTGTTTGGTTGGTGTTAATGAAGCATCAGAATGAGATGACCATTACTAAGTAATATTCATTCTAATTTTTGGTTTGTAGTAATAAAAATTTATTGTCATTATCATGGACTGCCTAATTTCACTAGTACAGGATTATTCGTTCCTTAATAAATATTGTATATTTTTTACCCATCCTCACTCACCTCCATCTTCCCTCACAACCGCCACCACCACCTCAACCTGAATACTAGGTCTGGGGGCCTGGACCTGGTGATGGGTGGGTCTACAGTCTGTTCAGGTCTAGTTTTATGTTTGAGTTTAGGTCTAAGTTCAAGGCCTGGGATTGTGATTGAATATGGGGTGCAGTTGAGTCCAACTTCGAGTTTGAACGAGGTTTTGGATCCGGTATGGGCTTCAGGGCCAAGGATTGGGGTCAGATCATGATCCCAGTACAGGTTTGGGCAAGGTTCAATGTATGTGCCCAAGATCCAGGGTTGGGTTTGGGTTCAGGGAGGGGAGGAGTTTTAAGGTCAAGATCGAAGTTGGGGCCTGGGTTAGGATCAAGGTCTAGGTTCAAGTCAAGGGTCCCATTTGTGTTTAGGTTGAGGATTCAAGGTCTTAGGTGCAAGTTTGGGCCTATGTTGTCTGTTGGTGTCTAAATCGCGGTCTAGGTTCAAGTCGGGTGTTAATGGGGCTGTAACTCGAGTGAGTTAAGGGATCAACTCAAGGTCAACTCAAGATACGAAACCTTCAACTCGAGGCTAACCTATCTTTAAAATTTTGAACTCAAGTTGAGTTTTGGTTACACAATTTGTGTGAAACTCAGATTTTTTCTTTTGATGTTAAACTCATGTTGAAATTAAAGTTTTTCGTTAATCAAAACCTAATTGAACAAAAATAAGGCTCAATTTTGTGTTCAACATTGAAATTGAACCTAAATTTTATCTCTCATGAATCAAAACTAATTAAAAAACAGAAAAAACAAAATTCACATCTTTAATAGGTTTAAAATATCAATAAGAATGGATAGGGGAGTATGACTTAGATGCCATAATATTTTATATACATGTTTGCAAGATATTTTTTTTTTGAACTAGGGTTGAATCCATCAGCTCGAAATTCCAACCTGAGTATTGCACAAATTCAATTTCAGTTATAAACATTTTGCCTAAGTTCAACCCAAGTATTAAAAACTTGAATTTAAGTACCGAAAAAAATAGGTTGTGCTTGAGTTGAGTTTGGTTTAGCTAGCCTAAGTTGCACCCCTAGGGGTTAGGATATAAGATTGGGGTTTGGGGTCTGAGATCAAGGTTCGGATTTGGGTTTGTGTTTATTAAGGTCAAGGTCCAGGTTTGAGGTCTAGGTTTGGGATCTGGATTTGGGGTCTAGTGGTCGGGTTTTAAGTTCGTGTTCAAGATTGAGGGTTTGGGTTAAGGTTCAAGTTTGGGTTTGGGTCTGGTCGAGATTTGATATTTGGGTTCGAGCTTGGGTCTGAGTTTGGGCTTAAGTTTGTGGTCTAAGCTTGGGATTCAAGGTTTGAAATTTAGGGTCAAGATCAAGATCCAAGGCTCGGTCCGTTCGCGGTCTATGCTCCAATGTTTGGTCTAAGGCTCAGGGTCAGGGTCTATATTGGGATTTAGAAATTTAATTTAGTAAAATGGTTGAATTATCATAATATTAAAATAAAATTTCAATTTTCTTACAACACTGAATTATAATTGTCAGCAAACAATAGAATAGTTGTGAGTGTTCAATTCCATTTTCAAGTTCATTCTCTTTAATGTTCCTTCTGTTTTAACATAACGAAGGAATAAATTACATCCACCTTTTCTGAGGTTTTTCTAAATAACTAGTAGATCCTTTCATGTATAGATAATAACATTGACCTCCTTGTGTTTTGGTTGTTGATAACATACTAATTTTACCTTTTTAAATCACACATTTTTGACCTTTGGTGCCAAATAATTGAGATGGATGTCATTGACAAGGAAGATTAGGGTAATTATCTATAAGAGTTCTAATTGTTATTTGAACATATTTTGAGGGAGGTGAATGCCATTTTATCCTAAAAATATTACAACAAACCAAATGCAATATTATAATTTTAAAATTATATGGACATAGTTTCCTATTGTGTTTTGATTTCAAAATGTATATCCTGTGTTATCATTTGAAGGGGCATGAAATTATATCATGTGTATAGACAGGTGAAATACTCACGTGATCATGAAAAGACTAGTCCCGTGGGGCACAAGTATTTGTAGCCTGGAACAAGCCAAACCGAATTGCAACAGTTCGGTTCATACTATCGAGCACGTGTGCACAACACAACTTGAAGACTTGGCCAAACAATGGGATGATCGCCTATAATTGATAAATTTAGGTGCAACAGCTAGGTAGAGTCAATGACTCAAAAGAACTATGATCAAGGGAGCGTTAGAGAGATTTCTGCGATCCCCAACAAACAATCCCGAATGAAGGAGATGTGTCATCTCCCACATCAGTAAAGGGAATCCTAGAAGCAAGGTAAAAGTCTATATAAAGCAGTGAGGTTGCATGGTTGGAGGTCAGTTGAATCCTTGTTACATATATTTTCTTCATATACATTTATTAACTTAAGCATCGAAGTGCCTTTGATCGAAACACTTAAATCCTAGACAGTTTGTTCCTTTTTGTAGGTAGCAATTTCAAGGAGGGACAATTCTTTCACAAAGCTTAGGAGGTACAATGACTTTTATCCTCCTACACTTGGCACCGTCTATGGGAACACTTCCAGAACAAAAACACAATTGGATCACTAGTAGAATTCGACGCGCAACAAGAAGACTCAGATTCAAACTTCCATGTGTCGTTCCACTCTAATAGGGACATTAGGTAGACATTTATGAAAGCCAAGATGAACAATATGAGGACATGATTTCCTCAGCTAGTTTCAAACCAGAAGATAATGAAATTCAGGATGATGGTCTGTAAGGAGAGTCCCTTCGTGCCGAGGGGGATAATCTCACCCTAACGAAATTGGTTCAATCTCCACAAGATTAGTTAGATGCACATGGCGAGATGTTTAAAAGGTCATATGCAAGAGAGAATGCCTTAAAACAAAGGACGCTAGACCGTCGAAGACAGATGAGTAGTGAAGAGTCGTGAGAAGCTAGATATCGAAGAAAGTCACACTGAACTGAAAATGAGGAGGAAGAATGGAAGCGCTTCATCACTGAAGAGCTCGATAGTCAGCTAAGGAGGCTCGAGCAGAAATCGGCAAGAGACTTAGCATGAAGGGCCATGGGGGAATACGTTGGTGGAACAAATGTATCTCTATTTACCAGATGGATAAAATGAGCAAGGATCTCAAGCAAGTTTGTTGTCCCTAACTTCAAACTGTATGATGGGAAGACGGATCCAATTGCCTATATTCGTAATTAATGTCTGTCATGACGGTGCATAGGAAGAATGAGCCCTTGTTATGTACTATATTTCCTAGCAGCCTAGGGGAATTGACCATGAAATGGTTTGATGGGCTTGCTAGGGACTCGGTGGATAGCTGGGGCCAACTCGCCGAGCAATTTACGGCTCAGTTCATTACCAGTAATCGACAGCCTAAGGATGTGAGGGTGTTACTGACATTAAAAAAAAGAACTAGAGAAACGTTGCGAGAATATGCTCATCGGTATTGGGAAACAATGAACGAGGTAGAGGCATGCAATCCTAAAATTACGGTAGCATCCTTCAAAATTGGATTGTCGAAGGAAAATGCGCTCTATCAGTTACTTACAAGAAGACCGGCAATAGACATGAAGGAGCTCATGGCCAGGGTTGAAAAGTACGCTAAGGTTGATGACGACCTTGGCAGAGATTCAAGTAGAGAATAGGCTGGGAAGAAGTAATTTAGCAAGGACAAGTTGGGACTACAAGCCTAGGAAGGGGCAAAGGGTAAAGAAAAAGAGGGGTTTCCCTCCAAATCCCTATACATGGGGGTTAACACTGTGTTTAAGGAACTAATCTATAGAATCCTCTCCCAAATAAAGGGAACACCCTATTTCAAATTGCTGAACAAATTGGAAGGCGATCCTGCCAAAAGAAACTTGAACTTCAGGTGCTCCTACTACTGCGATGTTGGACACATGATAGAGAATTGACGATATTTGAATCAGCATTTAGAGGAATTGGTCCAATCCGGTCACCTTTCACCATTTGTGGAGGGTGGAACCAAAAATGAAAACTGTGGTGCCACAGGCACCCCTCATGATCGACCCACTCATGTTGGGATTATTAATGTAATACATGCAGCCACAAACCCATACATGGCCACAAATAACTTGGATAGGGCATATATCAAACTGGTTGCTCAAGCCAGAGAAGTTTTCCAGCTGAGGGCAAGCCATGGGATTGGGAACAAGAAATTAAAGATGGATAAAGCAGCTGGGAGGATTATTTTTTTTTGAACAAAATTTGATAGGGGGTACACCACCTGCAAAATGATGCACTCGTGCTTACCATATGAATAACGAACTTTGATGTTAGGCTGGTGCTGATTGACGAAGGGAGTTCCTCTGAAATCATGTACCTAGGCATCTTTCACAAACTAGGCCTCAAGGAAGCAAATACCCCTTTGGTGGGGTTCAGTGGAAAGATGGTTTTTCCAAAAGGAAAAATCACCCTTCCAGTTCATATAGGACCGATCAGGAAGATGATTGAGGTTTTGGTGATGGACGCTAAGTCGGCATATAATGCCATTGTGGAGCATACCTGGCTACATGAGATAAGAGTGGTGCCCTTAGATGGAACCACTGAAAAGTATTTCTTTTTAGGATCTTCATTAACGACAGAGGAACACATAAGATTAGCCTCACTTCTTAATGAATATATTGATGTGTTCGCCTGGACGACGAGTGAAATGCCAGGTGTACCTCCCGAAGTTGTTTTTCATCACCTCAATGTCAACCCAAGTTTCAAACCTGTAAATCAGAAGCAGAGGAGGTAGGCCCTGCAACATAGGGAAGCTATAAAAAAGGAAGTGACAAGGCTGTTGGAGGCACGAACTATTAAAGAAGTTTAGTATCTGACCTGGTTGTCAAACACGGTGGTGGTAAAGAAGAAAACAGGAAAATGGAGGGTGTGTGTAGACTTTACTAACTTGAATAAGGCATGCCCTAAGGATAGTTTTCTATTATCCAAAATTGATCAATTAGTTGATGCAACCTTCGGACACGAGCGAATGAGCTTCCTTGATGCATATAGGGGATTCCACCAGATCCCCCTTGCCGAGTAGGACCAAGAAACTACATCGTTCATAACCCGGAGAGGATTTATTGCCACAAGGTAATGCCTTTTGGACTAAAAAATGCCGGGACAACATACCAAAGATTGGTGACGAAGATGTTTTCTAGCATGCTCAACAGTACTATGGAAGTTCACACCGACCTAAGATGAACTTTTGACGTCCTTCATAAATTCGGAATGAAGTTAACGCTTCAAAATGTGCATTAAAGGTTGGATCCGGGAAAATTTTGGGTTTCTTAGTCACCCATTGTGGAATAGAGGCGAATCCAGATCAAGTTGTGGCTTTGACTCGGTTGCAACAGCTAAAATCGATTAAAGAATTGCAAAGACTAACTGGGATGATGGTAGCACTAGATAGATTTATATCCCCAGCCTCTAA